GCCTCGTCAAGAACAGGCCCGATTTTCGTGGAATATCCGACCAAGTTTTTACCGCTCGCGCAATAACCGAGGAGTTTAATATTCATATTACTGTACGTTTAACATAGGTTTAAGTAAGTTCTAGTATGCTCGTAATGCCAGTTATTATTCTTTTCCATAGTTCCCAAGTATTGTCCGAAACAACGTGAGAATATCATGTAAAATGAGCTGACTATTATTAGATCACCTGACAACATTTTAAACTTCACCTACTTTGCACAGTCTGCCACGACTTGCGAATCGAATTTCTTGAGTTGTTGTAGTTGACGATGATGAAAGAACGAAAACACTCCTTTAGAAGCTTCCATTCGGGTGGTCTCTGCATAAACATTGAATGCACTGGAAAAAAAAAAAACACATTAGATCTAGAGCCCAGACTCTCAAAAACATCGACAAGAAAAATCACTCTTGATTCAATCAGAATCTAGCTTAAATCAAGAACCAAGCCTCTTAATTTAAGCGGATTTCGTTTTGATTCAAGCAAAAATCCGATTGAATCAAAAGTATTTTTTCTTTTCAATGTTTTCAAGAGTCTGGACTCGAGATCCAATGTGTTTTTTTTCCAGTGTGGCTTCAAGAAACAGTGAACTTCACCTGTCAGAAGGGAATGGCGAAGTATCATTAACAAAGAGCTTCTGAAACCCACCTATTACCCAGTAAAGAACTTCAGTAGAAACTCGTTTCATCGTAATGTATAATGCAGGAAGATCTCATCTGCTCAGTAGTACACTGGAAAATAACACATTGGATCTAGAGTTCAGACTCTTGAAAACATTGACAAGAAAAAATACTCTTGATTTAATCAGATTTCTGCTTAAATCAAAAGAAAATCCGCTCAATTAAAGAGGATTGGTTCTTGATCTAAGCAAAAATCTGATTGAATCAAGAGTAGTTTTTCTTGTCGATGTTTTTAAGAGTCTGGACTCAAGATTCAATGTGTTTTTTTTTTCCAGTGTATCAAAGAGATCCAGCTTCATCCAGAAATTTAGAGGATATCCTATCTTTGCGTTTTGGGTTCGATCGGGTACAATTTTGCTTTTTTAATATTTTTCTCATTAAATCCGTCACCAGTCCTGTCTAATGGGAGCTAAGAGAGTGCTCGATCACCAAACTGGCTTGTGCAACTGTCATTTGTTTTTACAGGCGCCTTGATGCGACTATTCGAGCTTGGAGGATGTCCGTGTTGCATACATCCAAAATTGAAGGCGCGTTGCATGCAACGCATTAGAGTGTTGGCGTATTGATGCAACTATATGCATGATTGGGGGACATCCGTAATGCATGCGCGTGAAATTGAAGGGGTAGCGACTTGACGTATTGCAATGTAAGATATGGGGATGAGCTGACTCCCATTTGTAGTTTTTACGTATTCCACATGTGCGTGGAATTTTCTCGTGCGTAACATGGACCAATTTTAGTAGAAAAGAACCGAGTCCATAGACATGTTCATATACTAAGCATTCATTTGTAAAAGAAAATCAATTCCTGGTACATTCTTTCTTCCATTGTATACATGTAAAAGTTTTTAAGAGGATTTGAATACCTTCAAAATGTGGGGATAAAATCATCCCTTGATCCCCAAGATTCAATGTTTCATATTATTTTCTCCACGTTTGATACGACTCGAAAAGTGTTGTTGAATAGAGGTTGTGTGCTGTTTTGATTCCGAATGCTCCAAAAATGACCGAAAAACTTATTTTAATTTTAAATATTGCTCTCAAAACATTCTGCAAAAACGATACTCACTAGGCACTGAGCTTAATTTGTTTTAGAGCGTCGTATTTCATTGGCCTCGCCAGTTACGTAATTCATCAGCGTGTCTTTTAAATGCATTTTTGAGCTATCGATTCCTTCGATTTTTTCTTGAGTTTACGTAGTTTCATGGTTCGGAAGTTACGCGAGGGTAAAAAATATTTGAGATCTCTAAGTCAAAACCACTCATTGGACTGAGGAGACCGACCTGTTTGTGGATAGTTCGACACCCGCGAACGCGGTTGAAGGGGTGACTGCATAATTTGAAGTACCTCTGCATTTTAATCGCCCTGCGGCCAGCGTGCGCCGAGGTTATAATTATGCAAATAACGCATCACGACGTTGCCAATAAGTTCCATAAAATATGCATTTATTAAATGAGTGAACTAAAGCGAATTTCATAAGAAAATTGAGCTATCAAAGTCATCGAGTCTCATCTTATTAAAATTCCACTTTTAGTTTTTTGTTTGACATAAAAACTCAGTTAAAGTAAAAAGCATCTAATCCTTCGATATTCTTTCAAATATTTTTTAAAATTAGTATTTTTAAGTATGAAACCTCGGAGTGAAGTGACAGATACGATTCGCAATTACTTCAGATATGCTGTATTTAGCACTACGTTAATATGACTTTAATTTTCGATCAATTAAATTACTCAGCTGAATTGGTTCAATTGCTTTCGCTAGCTTGATACTGCTGAAGATTTGTTAACGTTTCAAAAAAGGATTCAGGGTGTAGCATGTGTGCGATTTGACAACCGCGCGTGCCATTCAGTTCGAGTCGCAATGAACCGAGCACTGGGTATGTTCCATAATATCTCATACGATGAGCCAATAATTACTATCCCTTAAATTGTAACTCTAGCTCAACAATTCAGAAGACTGCTCTTTTATTAATATTTGCGGTCAAAAGCAAAGACGCTGAGGAATGGTTGGCATCCAATCACCAAAGTTAGCTCTACTTTCTCGCAATTTTCTTTCATGTGCAATTTCTATTTTTTCGCCGAGGATAATGTGTAAATGCATCGACCACGATGAGTATTTTTTATATGAACACTTAACTCGGTCATTGCCGGTGTTCATTCGCGTGATGTGTTCCAATTATTATCAAAACCAATCACGATTCACGCTTAATCACCTTGACGTCCTGATGTGTTGGTAACGATTCAGGGGACTGAATGTGGAATGAGCACGTCGATTACGTGGCACCAGTGGTAATTCTTGCAAGTTAGCAACACTGTCTTTCCTTCGTTTAAATCAATTATATATATCGATTGAAGGCAAAGTAGCCTGATTTATCCGGAATCGATTGTTCTACTCACATTTAATTGGACGAAAAACAGTCTTGCCAACTACATAAGACGACATGACACTGCATGACATGTACAGCTGCGTTTTAAAATGTCTAACCTACTATTTTTTAATGCAATAAATTGAGCCAATTTATAAATTGGTGGTTAAAATATGTAAATAATTTCGATTATGCGGTTTCTTGTATGATAAATGTAACTTTCGAAACGTTCTCCATGTTTTTATTCATTTGTGTTATTATTAAATTCTGTGACCCTCCAGAGGAAAAGGGACGTCAGTCTACAACAATTTAAAAGTAAACAATCGAGCCTAGAGCATGCAGGAGTATTTTACGAACATTTTTGGACAAACATTCTCAAAAAGTCAAACCGAACCGAAGTTTTAGTGGTTGCAAGTATGAAGCTCAAGCTGGTGCGAGGAAAATGTATTTAAAATTCTAAAATGTCATGTTTAGAGCAAGAAATGGCTAAATCTAACTGTAACTGTACGGACTTCACGCCTTGCATCGGCACAAAAATGCGCAATGCCATCCCTCGGGCAATTCTCCAGAATACTGGATAGTTTTCCGTTGGAAGCTTAGAATCAGATTATTTTACCCACCTGAGAAAACTCATTCTGCTTGACATTTTACCACTATGGATAAGGGTACCTTTTTATGGACGGTCTTTTATTTTTTAAATAATAATATTAATCAACGAATGTTTTTTCGGTAAGGTACTAAAATTACCTATTTGACTGTTAAAGTAGAAAAAGAAAAACATATTCCAACGAATGCTTTTTTTACAATAATTTACGAACTTTGCACTGCTGACTGGATACGAGCATTCAGACATGTGGATCGCATTTAGCAAAATGGAGTCAGCGCGATTACAGGGTTGAAAAATGTTGCTTATTCATAATTATCTTGATATTCGCCCAGAATAGCAGATTTGTTTCACTTACCACCAAAAAATTGTTAATTTTAAAGGAAAATAATTGTGTAAATCTATAAACCGTACACATATTAAGTGTTTTTAAAAGAATAGAAAAAGTTGCATGAAAACACTGTAATCGTGCTGGTTCCCTTTCGCTAAATGTAATCCATGTAAAGATACATCGGAAACGCATAGGAAACTATGCTGCGAGTGGGAAATTTCTAAAAGTGGAAACCGTAATCTCTTTAAAAAATGAGAAAATCAATAACAAATATTGCAGTTATTTTGAATTCCTTAAATTCAAATCTATTGGCTCATTTCTTTTAAATGCTGAGTCATCTCTTTGGATCAGATCTAGTTCCTCACCCTATAAGAACCAATAAAATGAAAATTAACAATTATTCCCCTCTAAAATCATTATTTTCTCCGGTTTAATGGACACCCAAAGTAAGTTTTCATACGTGCAAACTCACAAAAATTTTGGGCTCCAGACCTAACACCACCGAAGGTGAATTTACAGACATCGTGGCATCGCAGACTGAATTAAAATAGGATGCCGTGTGATTCTAAAACTACTCACGACAATCAGGATCTTATAATCAGCAATCCAGCTAATATTTCCCCTCTTTAAGGGCAACTACACTGGAGGAACCAGAACTTTCAAACATGTAAATTGGCTACTTTCAACTATCCTGAGCGCAAAAACGTGTAACAAAACGATGATACAAATGAACTGATTGTTTCCCAAAGGGAACAAATCCATTCTCCAGGTGAGCCTCACAAAGCCAGCATTTTTACGTAAGCTATGGCTCATCTAGCACTGGAAAAAAAACAGATTGGATCTAGAGTCCAGACTCTTGAAAACATTGACAAGAAAAAATACTCTTGATTCAATCGGATTTTTGCTTGAATCAAAACGAAATCCGCTTAAATTAAGAGGCTTGGTTTTGATTTAAGCTAGATTCCGATTGAGTCAAGAGTACTTTTTCTTGTCGATGTTTTTAAGAGTCTGGACTCTAGATCCAATCTGTTTTTTTTCCAGTGAGAAAATGAACTTGTTCCATTTTAGAAACAAACCGTTCAAACATGAAAGACTAGCAGACGCGTCTCATATTCGAATGTGAAGCAAACCATCTCGACGCATTAAGTATCACCGACGAACCGGGCTGTTTTTCCTTGGACTTCTTTTCCCGCCGGAGGCCGAGTCCCCGAAGTTCTCATCGCGGATGGACTCAAGGGAGTCCGTTTGAAAAGGGTCCACCACAGTGACGTACTCCAACGGGGGCTGCGATATATCGTCCAAATCCATATCGTCCAAGTCGTACGCCGCACTCCTACTCTGCCCTTTTTCTTGCGAATACCTTTCTCTGTAGTAGCTCTCATAAGCCTCGTCATCTTCGTTCTCCTCCTCATCGATCGCAGACTTCAAAATCCCCTTCAAATGCGATTTATGACGTGGTGGGTTCTCCGGCTCAACTCTGAAGAGCATGCTGAACGGCTTGGCCACCACGTCCGATAGTTTCTTCAGGATCGACGGTCCCCTCGACTCGGTGTCGACGAAGTGGACCCTCTCGCGGAAGTCGCCTAAATGCTGGTGCTCCACCGGCTTGTAATACGACCTCGACGCGTGGTTATGGCACTTCTGGAGGCTGGGGATCTCGAACCCGAAATCGGACGGCTCTGGTGGTGGTGAACTCGTGTAGTACTTGGACTTGAAAGACTTGTGTTGGTGACCGCAGCTCGGTTGATCTCCGTAGTACCGGTCGAAACGAGTCGGAGAATGATCGAATCGGGGTGAACGTAGACTTGGTGGTAAGTAGTCGTCGAGGGACTCCAGGATATCGTAAAGTCCGTGCGTATGTGACGGCATGTAGGATGGTTCGCCGGAGGGGTAGCAAGACGAGAGTGGGTCGAACGAGGCCTTGGGGTGCACCTGATGGTGAGCGTGGTTGATCAACTGTTGGTGGTGTCTCTTCGTGGCCATGTCCAACCCGTAGTTGAAAGTCTGCGAGGGTGACTTGGGACGACCGTAGAGCGACGACCCCTCCTGAGGTTCGGCCTCCCGACGTTTGGCCTGGAACGGGATCGACGGGTCGATGATGGAGCTGGGGAGTGGTTGTCCGGGCTTGATGTTCGGGTCGCTGACGGGGGGAGGTTGTGGGGTGCCGTGGTAGGACTTGGGGGATTTCGTGCGGGTGTAGAACATCGCCTGGCCGGTGCCGTAGGGGGCGGCCCGGTACTTCGACATGTCCGATACGAATTCGGTGAAAGGGAGGTTGATGCTTTGGTAGTTGTTCAGAGGCGGCTCAGGGAACATGGACTGATGCTGTTGGAAGGGTGTTGCGTACTCGGGCATTCCACCAAACCGTGAGTCGTTGTAGGAACTGTACTTATCGTGCTCGTTCTGTGACCAAGGTTTCGCGTTGTTCTTCATGACGAAAGAACTTTCCGACGGGCACTTCCTGGTCCTCAACGGTGATCTAACCGGTTGATCTAAATTCAAGTTCACGTCTGAATGACGTCGCCCCATGTTCTGCTGCTTCAGCCTCTTCAAATCCTCTACTAAGTCGTCGCTCTGGGCAGCAGCCTTCTTCTCAAGCAGTTGCTTAAGTTGGGTCAAGTTGTATTCATCCAAGAGCTTATCAAGCAACTTTGCTCTGTCCGTCTCAGCATCATTCTCAGCTTTCGTTTTATCTTGCCCAGCTTCACCAGCTCCTTTCGACGACTCGCTTTTCGATAAGTCCTGGGATCTCTTGGCCGATGCTTTATTCTCGCAGTTCTTCTGATCCTGTTTCTCACTCATAGGTATTATATTATTGTAAATGTTTTGCAGGTGTCTGCTCATTTCCACCGGGTCGTTTGAGTTCTCAGGGAGAGGCACGAAGACATACACACCGTTGGTTTTATTGTTCACTGTGGTCAAAGGTGACTTCGACCGTTTACCGTTGTTGTAAAGCCCGAGCTTTGCTATGGCGTCTGGACTGCCCTCGCACTTGACCTCGCTGAAAGCACACGTGCAATTTTGATTGATCAGATTGTGCGTCAGCATTTTCGTATGGTCGTCCGGTTTATACAAGCGAGTCATATCGCAAACCTCCAGATTTTCGTAGATGTTCCGGCCTGGATTGCAGCAGCTCTTTAAATCTTGTTTCAGATTTATATGCTCCGACTGTGTGTTGACGTGTTCGCCTTCCCGGTAGCAGCACCCGTGCAATTCCCTCTGCTTCGCCGGCGGGTCGTTGCAAGGGCATTTATCACACCTGTCCTCGGGGGTCTCGGGGTTGGAGACGTAGTACTTGGTGTGATGTTTGAACTTTTGACCTCTGGAGGTTTTCGATGGTTCTGTCGTTCTTTTTACCTCCTCTTCAATGTCGATCTCTTTCTGATGCTGATTCGGGGAAGGCGCCACCGTGTCTTTCTCTGGTACCGTCTCGCAACTTTCCTCCGATTCTGTGTCTTTGCGATTCGTAGGCGGTCGTGCTTTGTCCTGTGTGTTCTCTTCCTTCCTCCGCCTCGCTTTATTTCTGGGCAATGGCTCTGCAGTTATATTCAAACCGATATTTTGCAACTTTTTGGCTATCTCGTTGGTTAAGCGTGTTATCTCACTATTTTTACAGGTAACTTTCAGCCTATCGTTTGTTTCGCTCTTATTTACGTCCGATATTGAATTTTCGTTGTGGTGAGGTTTTTTCGAGGACCGATCCATTTTAGATAAATAATGCTCGTTTTTCTTAATATTCTTATCGCTCCCATCCGATAGGCGATTGTGGCCCCTTCTGCCACTTTGCGCTAATGAAGTATCACTTTTGCTGACTATCCTGAGGTCGCTGCTTTTTGTATTCGAAAGCTCGCTGTGTTTTTGGCGGTATCTTGACTTTTCGCCCATGCCGGTATTATCATAGTACACCGGTCGGTTAGATATGTAACAGAGCTTGTTGTTTTTATCCCCGTGGAAGTAACCGTACGAATTGCCCGAATCATTATTCAGCATTTTATTGTACTCTCGAACGGAGAGAAGATTATTGCTGCCAGCAGGGCTGCGAACGTATGACGGCTCTTTTTTCACGGGGGATATATTTCTATGGATATTATGGTTTGGATTGAACCTATTATAGTTCAAATTACCATCTGTGTTCTTGTAATATTTGCTAGTTTCGCGCACGTACCTGGGTTCTTCATCCGAGTCCTTGTACCTTCTCTCTTCCTGGCTCGAGTAAGAGTAGTTCGAAGCTTTCGGAATGTTCTCGATGCTTGGTTTGGAAGAAGGAGGAGCATAGTTATAGAGACTATCCGACTTATCCGGTGGTTTCACTCTGCTGAGGTGTGAATCTTTAGTTTTAGTTCTACTACGCCTTACTTGAACATGTTCCCTGGCTGGCGCTTCAGGTTTTTTCTTATGCGACTGTTTTTTCTCGAATGAATAACCTCGGTGCATGGTTTGCTTTTCATAGTTACGTAGGTTGCGTGGAGAGCATTTTTGTGTGATTAGTTTCGAATTTAAGTGCTCCTCTGATTGACTGGAGTCTGTAGTATCTGAAGCGCGGACTTTCTGTCTGTAATTTTTGTACAGGGATTTTCTCATCGATTTGTGTACTTACGACCAATCCGTGTCTCGTCCTTCCTTTGCATCCTTTCAATCAGTTTGCGATGTATTGTCTCTTGACTCTGGAACAAAAATTACGATTTCTTTAAGAGAGGGAAAAGATTTTATGAAAAATGCAGATTTTATGATTTTATTTTGTTTTTGAGTTATTTCATGTAGAGCTCAGGATCAGAAATTATCAGAAAATGTACTTTCTTCACTGTCAAATTTAGTCGCATGCGGCTTTTTTTCAACGGCGCTTGCAATTTTTGTCTCATTTATTTGCTAACCTCGTTTCAAAAACCACCAAGAACTACGGATTTTCACCATATTTAATTTCATTAAAATTGTACCAGCCAACATCTGAGGATGCAAAAATTTCGACAGGTAGAAATTTATTTTGACTATTGGTAGTGATAAAGGAGCGCAACACATATTACTTCAGAGCGTAGCTGCGTGGAAGTAACATAACGCCTTCATTTGATAGGATAGGCAAAAACACCTCTTACGCGTCGGAATAGTCACATCCCCTAAAGGATGACAGACGTCCTTCACTCGTATACGGAACTCGAAAACCAATAATGCGCATGCGAATATGGATTCAGTCGTAAAATATGGCAGTGAAAAATTAACGAATGCAATTTTGCTACACACTAACAAACAAAACTTGAGGTACCTTAGAAAGATACCTATTTGCATGCGAATTGATGGTGAGACCAGGAAGACACATCAATGGCCAAAGTGCGAAACCAAGTCTTAACGTTTATGACGTTGCAGACTTCATCTCATACTTCATTTTTTCTCTAGAAAACTAGTCAACATAATGACCTGAAAACTTCCCTGATTTTCCTCTCATTCAGTAGAATATTCTTCATACATTTTAAGCTATAAAGTTGGTTTGTTTTTCTTCGGAAAATGAAATAAGAGAGGATATTTTAAAACTCCGAAATGGAATTACGTGGTTTTGCACCGTGGTCATTGAATTAGATACTTCTGTCACGACTTTTGCGAACTTTCCGTCACATTTTTTTCGAAAAAAGGATTTTTCATTCGTAAAATTTGTCATCGTTTTTTTCATCATCCAATAATACTCCCTTAAGTTTGATTCAAAATGCTATTCAGAAAAAAAAGAATAAGATAAGAGAGAAAATAAAATAAACTAAAAACGGAATTTTAACATGGCAATTAGAGGTACTTATTTTCTTGATTCCACCTTCGGAACATTGAGGATTCAGGCCATGGTGATATTGAAAGCAAGGCTCTAAACATCTAAAAATCAGTGAGGAAAATTTTTCACACCGTGCACGTTTTACCTACATATCTAGTTAAAAATGTGACGGAAAGTTCAATAAAGTCGAAAGTCGCAAGATTTAACCTTTAGTGAGCTTAAAAACTCATTTTTTCGGAATAATCCCCCTATTTTGATGTATTCAATTTTCTCTCTTCTCTGCTTAAGAATATTCGGCATATTGTTCTGAATGAAAGCATTTTATGGGAACACCAAAACCAGCATCCAATTTCTGAAAAGTGGAGCAAAATTTGCATTGCAGAGAGTAATACTTTGGGAAAAATCTCCGTTCGTTATTCAGGAATGCTGGAGTAATACGGTTCCTCATTTTTCAAGAAATAAAAAAATATAGTGATTTCCCCACTAATGGTAAAAGTTTTGAGATCATTTTGCAAATATTTCAATGTACAATACATCTTATTTTCTGATTGCATAAGCACTCATAAATGTTCATAGTTTACCACATATCTCCAAAACCGAAGGCACCTTTTGTCACGCTTCGGGGGATATTGATGGAAAATGATTTCAAGCCTTATTTTAGTGTCCTTTCAAATGAAACCAAATTGAGGCAAGAACAATTCATGAATCGTTCATCATTGAAGATTGCGCCTCAAATCTGAGGAGAACTGTTGGACCATTCACAAAAAATGCGTCAAAAACTATATCGTATTCGCAGTTAATATCGGTGCAAGCCGTTTAAAGTAAGATGTTTTGATTGCCTAGTTAATTAATGGCAGCTGACAATAGTGCCAATATTTCGCCGTTTCCCTCACGGAAGAACGTATAACTACGTTTCAATGTTGCCAATTATCCCCTCACATATTGCATTTTCATCAGAAAAATCTGTGGTACTTCTAACTGAAAATCTCACTAATTTTTCTTTTGATCTCATGCAAAAATCAGACAAAATTTTGAGAAAAATTGCGCTGGTTCATTCTTTTGAAAAATTTAACTGTGCGAGTCAATCTTGCAACCTTGGAAAGGAGTTACGTTTTTCGCCCGGGAAATGACGATTCAAGGCACAACTCAGTTCTCCTAATATAACAGGACAATACTTTTATAATTTGCACCTTGATTAACTCTAGTATAAAAGAGTTATGAATCATTCTCTTTTACTTTACAGAATGATTGACTTCATGTAAAAATGAGCTAGTGAATACATTAGTGATTAAATTGGATCGCATTTAGCAAAAAGGAGCCAGCGCGATTACAGCGTTGTAAAAATGTTGCTTCTTCCTAATTATCTAAGAAATCTACCAGAATAGCAAATAATTTTTGCTTCCCACCAAAAAATGGTTGATTTAAAAGGAACATAATTGTGTAAATTTTAATACTGTACTTTGAGTATTTTTACAGGAAAAAAAGAAGTTTTCTGATTTTGAAAACACTGTAATTGCGCTAGTTCCTTTTTGCTAATTCCGATCCAACTGTACCGACCCTTTTCTGATGACATTTTGTTGGGCGAGATCACCACTGATTGAAACTGGCCGGAGAAAAATTAAAGAAGGAACTTACAAAGAATAGAAAATGTACCTAAATATAGAGAGAGGTGTAGATTTTGATTGAGAACTCTGCCGAGAGAAGCTTTATTTGGATCCAGAGAAGAATGTCGCATTGAAAGCGATAACTGTCACAGAACTGGTATTCGTCTAAATATAGCAAACTCTAACAACACAATCAGGGACGCGTCAACCTTCGACTAGAAACTAGCTCTCGAACTGGAGATACGGCAAGAATCTCGATTCACCTTGTTCTGTTCAAAAAATCAAATGAGTTCATTATTTTTATGATGAAAACGAAAAATTTTAGCACTTGTTCGAGATTTGGAGGTTAGACCTCGCACTTGTCAACATTCAGTTTCAAAATACGAATTCCCGCTCAGGCACATCATATGATGAGTTGCGCGTCCCGTAGCCTTGGAGAATCCGCGATCGCCGCTTGTCTTCACGAATGAAATGAGTTTTCCTCCGGAAAAAATTTCCGTTGATTTATTCAAAACATGCAACAATTTAACCTGCTCACCGGAGAATTATATTGCCACTGTTAAAATCGCGCGGTTTTTAAGATCAGATCTACTGATCACTGAAATTTAGTCTCATTTTTTGTTTTGTTTGCAAATAAATTTTGAAATTGTGAGTATGTGGGCGTTTTCCATAGTTTCGATGATTTAATTTTTGTTCGTACAGTAGCAAGCCGTTTCAGAATAAGAAAGTCGTGCCAACTGTCAATTCCCTCGCCAGAATACATTTTCGACCAAAATTTTTCTTTATTTCTGCATAAAATCAGTGTGAATAATACATCTTTAAGTCCTAATTCAGCTCTAATTTTTTATTTTTATCTATCACGGTACACCTTATTCATCAGAAAATTTTCTCTCAAATTATTTTTCAAGATTTAGAGAATTTTACTAGTGATTTTTTTCGCATCGCTTATGCAAGGACTCAGTTTTTTTTAAATTTTTTTTTTTTTCAATTCCCTTTATTTCTGCATTAAATCAGCTTCCAAAAATGCATTCTAGTCCTAATTCAGGTGTAATTTTTGATTTTATTCTATCACGGTACACCATATTTATGAGAATTTTTTTTTTTTTTGCAAATTCATTTTTTGGATTTAGAGAATTTGATGATTGATTCTTTTCGTATCTCTTATGAGAAGTCTCAGTATAACCTGACGGCGGACATTGGATCGAGTCCATCAGAGAGGTCGGACATGCCATTTTTGACTTAATGTTTATTTTGTCACTATTTAAATTTTAATGAGTTGGTTTAGAAGAAAATTTCACGAGGGCACCAATGGAACCAATTTTGGAACCCTAACGTTTGTATAGACGGAGTTATAAGCGTTTAAAGTTCCCAAATTTTGTCCGACCTCTCCTATTGACTCGATCCACTGTAACTGGCGCTTACCAGGTTTTCAATTTTCACTCTGCGCTCACCGCGAGCCAAACAATAGCCCATCATCTGAGTGCTAACTTACGATGTCGCTGCATTGGAAGAGGGAACGATTTAATCGCCGTCGTAAAATCTACATTGAAAATTATGTGAAATGTAGTGTGGTGGCGCGCTGATCGGAAAAGAAAGCTGATTGTGAGCCATAAATTATTGTCATCTAACTCTTATGCAGTCGTGCGATGAGTTGTTATACATCGAAACAATTAAGGTCGCCTTTCGTCCTCGCCGACCGATCCAGATGGATTCCGCTTGCCGCCGACTCGCCTAATGATCCATCGTTGCAAAATGTATCGCGAAATTTTACTATTTGTGAAAGAAAACTTAGTGCTGAACTCGTTTGCTCATTAATCTCTTTTTTTGATGCGACAGAAGAATGCAATAGTTAAAGTAGACATGTATTGTGGATCGCGTGAAGCAGAAAGGAACCAAGCCACATTAGTTATTGCCAAATTAATTGGGCAGTTTGATTTTTTACATGCAAACGGTTGTGCGAATTTTTGTTTGCAAATTTCAGTGACTTTTCTGCATGGTACAGAGCAAATGCCTAAAAAATTCCCAAGAAATCCACACAAACGTTCTCTTTAAAAAAATGAATTTTCCAGTGAAATTCGGAAATAGCTGATGTGGCTCGGTTTCTTTCTGCCAAACGCGGCCCATGTATTCTCCTTCAGAGAACCTTCAGAGAAGAAGGATTTTACTGCCTTTAGCAGGGTTTTGCACCTTGCATCGTTAGAAAGCTCGCCTATAAAAAGCTCGTTATAAAATTTGAAGTGCATTTCACTTAGCAGGCTATTTTACGCTCAAAAACTGAGTGCGGAGCGAAATCGACTCTTTATGTGGAGTGAACCCCGTTCTCAAAGAGTATAATCATTTTTTTTTCCTCAGTAAACTCCACTCACACGAACCAGACCTGACTAATAATATCACTTGGGTCCTGAATTGAGAAAGGATTAGGGTGGCAAAATAGACTTTAGTGTGAAATGCACTCTCAGTTTTTCAACAATTTTTTTGGGGGCCGTCCCTAAATTACGTATATAGCGTACACGGCATTTTTGACAACCTCCCCCTTAGTACCGCTTTTGAAACGTAGGTGTGTCCTGTAATACGAAAAATCAAAATAACGTATTGCTCTCCTCGACCCCCCTCTAAACAGTGTGTTTGCAACGAATAACTTAATAATCGATTCTTTACCATCGCTTGAAATGGGGAATAATCGATCGTCGATCATTCGCGCCTCGCTACTGAGTCTGTTGTACTTGTATTGCCAGAATCTGCTTTGAGCCTGCGTTACGGAACATTGCAAAGAGTAAGAGGGCTGCGGCCCAGCTTTACCTGACTCTCTTAGTAAAACGCATTTTTCTTTATTTTTTTATTTTTTTTTTATGTATTTATTTTTTTTTAATAAATTCGGGCAAAGATCTTTTCCAGTCCTCTAGAATCACACATCAAGCTCTGCAGACTTTCCTCAAAATGGAGGTTTTAAGGCAAGACCGCAAAAACGGCCCTCGGTGAAGAAATATCGATATTACCCCCGAAGTCATTTGTTCGCCTCCCGATTGCACGAACACAACCCGGCAGTTAAACGCGCACGCATATCGAATCAATTCCCTCGAACGTGGAGCCAAACCGCATCATACACATAACTCGCCGCCGAGATGTTATCAAAATGGTCGGAATTCGAAAAAAAGGAGCACGACGCACCACCGAGTCGGGGGTAGGGGGAGGGGAATCGCTGGGGCGGAGACCCCCTTACCACGGGGGAAACGGCGGCCCTTCACTCCTCCCGTAACCAGTAGTGTTCATTAATTATTCTCCACTCCGCGGCGCTGGACGCTGCAAAACGACGCAACTGCACTTCAAATTAAAGTACAACGGACACGTGTTTCGAGGCTGGAGCCGAAATGCAGTTGCGCGTTTTTCCCCGGGCAGCTCCGAATGACTTAGGCCCGAGCTTAGCGAAGAATCCACCGAAAAGGAAGATAGATGAAAGAGAGGAGCGAGCGAAGATGCGATGAGAAAATAAAAGGGGGGCCCTTCGACGAAGAGAGGGAAAGTGACTGGATTTGCGTGAACTCATACCGCCGAGAGCGAAAAAACACGAATCCTCATGTGCTCGGTATTGAAGATACGCGGTTTTTCCTCCAGCACAGCAGCGAGGAGAGATATGGGGACGTGAGAGAAGGGGAGGGGAGGTTAAGACGTGAGGAAGACCGGTTAAGAAGGAGCAGAAAAACGAGCGATGCAGATTTCTGCCACTTAAGCCGTACTCGAAGAGATGCATTATTCTGTGCCCATGCAACCGGAGCGGCGGGAGGGAGGGGAGGGGAGGCAAGGGTGGAAGAAAAATGAGGAGGAAAGAATGGAGCGACAGGTTGATTTTTTCTTGAAAATCCGAGTAATCTGATTGGCCCGCGGCGGTCACGTTATCATGGATCCTCGAGATTCGCCTTTAACCGCGACGCTGCGCCCCGGGAAGGCGAGGTGAAACCGCGGACGCGCGCGGGGTTCTCGCTGGACATAGGTTGTTTTGGATGGAAAGTAAAAGCACGACCCGACCGGGGGTGAGTGGACGGTGGACGCTGGAGCTCGTAATTCGCCGTGTCTTCTCCCGCGCGGGCACGCCGCGCCGATTATCCGCGCATTTCGCTCGTTTATCAATTTATCCTTTTATCCGTTTATTCGTTTATTCAGGGGGCACCCGATTAATGCCTCCTCGCCGGGCGTTCCCTACCCGGCCCCCCGGCGGAGTGTACCTCTGCCTCGCACGGAGGGTTTAGTTGTAAGAGTAGGCATGGGGCCGGAAAAGTAGCCGTGAAGATGGATATATTACCATAGACGTAGGAACGGACTAAACCGTAGGTAGACAAACTCAAATATTTCAGAAATATAGCGATAGACAAAACCATGGCGAAAAAGATGCACATACATATAGGTCGCTTTATAGCACTCCCTCGCGCTCTACGACACCTACCCTCCACTGCTCTCTGTCGAACCACAGTCCTTGGGGTATTGAGCATCGGAAGAGCGAAAAAGATACCCTTTAGAATAGCTATGATATGGGCTGGGGCACATTTTCAAAGTATCACTGAGAAATGATCTTGATGTCTTTTAACGGAGAATTTTCAGGTGTCTGAAATTTGATGAATTTCGTGCCGTAGTGGAAACTACTGGGAGAACTGAGCACAGATACCCTTTTTTCATTAATTGAACAATTACTGGAGGAGACATGACAAAATGATTCAACCTCCTAAAATGCATTCGTTTTATCGGGAAATGCTACCGCACGTAACGTCACTATGCGGTGTATAGCCTCACTTTGAAATCTATTTTTATACTATTTTCCACATCAGAAAGTTTTTGAAAAAAACTACTACAAAATCAGCTCTCTCGGCTCTTTCAGATAGGAATAAAAAGTTTGCGTGCAAATTCTCTATTCCAAAAGAGCCTCTCGTTGGTTTTAATTAGTCAGTCCATTACTTACCTCTTTCGTCACTCCAACTTTCCGTATTTCTACCAATGGGATCTCTCCCATTTCTATTTTTCTTTTTTTTATCCTTTTGTCCATCAATTTCAACAATCAGCTCGCTGGTTTCTAGATCATCCCCCGAATTACTCCCAGTGCGATACAGAGATTTTGTTCACAGTTTTAATCACATATTTAAAAGAGGAAAACCTATTCATCATGAATACACTGTATAAAGTCTCTGAGTTTGAAAGCCTACCCTCAACCTGCTTTCAGAAATAGTTTATTTCATTCTACCGCTCATTAGATGGTCGGAGTAATAAAGTCGTTCAGCAATCATAAAAACACCAGATCACTCTCACTGTAACATCCCGCTGTGAATTCGCCGCAGAAATCATGTGCCCAACCGAGGCGGTAAGCCGAATCAATAGACTGGTTTCCCATTTGCAATTTGCGAGGTATACTAAACGGGGTTACATTTTAAATAGTAATTATGGCGATAGTGAATGGCTTACCAAAGCTTTTCGATATTTGAGAGCTCGGCTAGCTGATGGTGGAATTTTGCAATGGTGTAGTACTCTAATGACAAATTTTAATTACTTTTATTTCCGAAAAAGGTTCCAAAAAAACAGGAACAAGTTTTCCGGAAATATCTCTGAAAGGCACTATCATCCCTAAAAAATGGGGGAAGGTCTCTGAATAGAAATTGATGTGCACAATCGCCGAAACT